GTTAGTGCGTTGGCCGTTGAAATTTGTACTGAATAACGAATGGCTTCTCTCCTCTGCTGCCTTCTTGTGCTGTGGAGGAGCAGGTAAATATCATATCTTGGATGAAACCTTATGTTTAGCTTGTTAGAAATATGAAGGCTAATGTATCCTTGAATCTTACTTTACAGGCACTCTATTGTTCTTAGCAGTATCAATATTCGGAGGACAATGCTGGCGCAGGGATTGGTTAATGTACCCGAATTTTAACCACTTGTCTTGGTCGTATGCGTTAGCGGTCGTTTCGTTCATGTTTCATTTGTTGGCCGCATTGTTTTTATACTTGGATGCAAAAGCTGGTTACAGGCTGCGTAAAGAATCTCGTAATTTGGTGATGCAGATGCAGCCTAATCCACAGTCACACCAAGGGTTGCAAAGAAGCGGATATATATAATCGAATCTACCAATCGTAGGGTCCTAATCATAAAGTATGCGGGTTCTGCACAGCTTAAGCGAACGAAAATTCCACGTCTGCTTTCAGAGTTACTTTTTTACATGACATCGGCGTGCAATCGAGGTTACACACGCGTATTTTACTATTTAAATCCGTCCATTTTTAAGAGATTTATATAGCTAGATGAAGAAGATTGTTTATATATATATATATACTTATATATTATAATTTTGTATGTACATGTAATTAGAAAAGAAAAATATTTAGTGTAACAATGTTACAGAGATAAATGAATTTCTATTTCTGTAAAGCCATTGCGGGTATCTCTGTAACCCGTTGATTATTCTGCAGAGTGATAATTTTTAAACATTTGAAACATTTATAGATCTGTTAATATTAAAATCATAAACATCGAATTGTTTGTCGATACGAGCAATGATCAACGAGAATAATATTCAAATAAGCAAATGAAAAAAAATTCTTATCACTGACCTGGAATTTTTGAATGGGTGGCTAGATCCAGAATATATTTAATCGTGTTCAGGGGTAGATTATCGTCAAGAATGATGTAGCTAGCATTTTCCACGTGTGCTCGATGTTCTTTCACCACGTCGGGAGTAATGCTTGCAAAGATGTCCATTTCACCGATTCCGAAATGGCACTCGTCTTTGCAGTCGACTATCATGGTACACCTTGAATTGGAAAATCGACTCCTTGTGGATAATTGGTTTTACAGTATTGCGCGCGTTAAAGAAAATAGGTGGCAACTTGTTATAGTAACAAACGGTTATTCCATTTTGCTTGGTACCATCCGCAACCAGAGCTAATAGCAAATAGCCGTTAATGCTAATGATAGGTTTTTTTGTCGCCAAGCTTAATACCTCTACTTTAGAACGTCTGAAGAATATTTACTAATTTTTCGGACCCGAAATAATATGTAGTTTAACCGTGACAGCCGTTTTAATTTTCTGGTGTGCATGACACCTCATGTGTACCATATGAAATTTTTATGCAAGGTGTACAGTGAAGATTAACAAACTTCGTAAATGATATTTTAATTTAAATAATTCCGTGTCCGAACAGAATTCAACGAATGATTCGCAACGCTGATTTAATAATAAATAATCGCGTTAAGGAACGTAAAGGAATTGTTTATTAGAGAAATATGAAAAATATCGATAAAAAACTCACCCATTTAGTTGAGGATGCATTTGCTGACTCGTACGCACTGACCTCGTACAACGAACAGCTGATTCCAGGTCGATGACCGCAACATTCGAGGGATACTGACGGAAGAACCTCTGATATGGTTATTTGCGAAGTTCACTTACACTGCACTGGCATATTCTTTCATTCGAGCAAAGTGCAAGAATTTTTGAAGATTTCAA